TTCATTGTATCTGATTTATCACTTTCACGGGTTTATTACGAATCAACTTAACGGCCTGCTCCCAGTTGGCTTGTTAGCTCAATTGGTAGAGCGCTGCACTAGTATCGCAGAGGTCAGTGGTTCGAATCCCGTACAGGCCTGATTTTTTTCAGGTCTGATTTTCGCTATTGCATAAATAGCGCTATCTACTGCGAGGATCGTGCATCATACGTATCTAATACCGCAGTTCAAAATATATGAACTTCATATATTCATTGTATCTCATTTATCACTTTCACGGGTTTATTACGAATCAACTTAACGGCCTGCTCCCAGTTGGCTTGTTAGCTCAATTGGTAGAGCGCTGCACTAGTATCGCAGAGGTCAGTGGTTCGAATCCCGTACAGGCCTGATTTTTTTCAGGTCTGATTTTCGCTATTGCATAAATAGCGCTATCTACTGCGAGGATCGTGCATCATACGTATCTGATACCGCAGTTCAAAATATATGAACTTCATATATTCATTGTATCTCAAAGTATCTATCTATCTATCTATCTATCTATCTATCTATCTATCTATCTACCTATCTAATTGCGTGACACGGAATGGCGCGTTTTGACCTATGAGTCACTTTTGTTTGGGGTCCTAAAATTTCGTAATTTGGGTAGCCCAAACATTTTATTAGAGTTATTTGAAGAAGAAACCTTGTTCTTTCGCTGGATTAACTTGATGTAACCCCATGCCATGTACCAAGGTGCGATTTTTCCCTCTCAATTTTGCCATTTTTTTGTCCGCCAAAAAGAGTGAAATATTTGAAAAAACCACAAACTCCCCAAAAATTTAGATTGCAACGGAATCGAACAAAGAACAGCTCAGACTGTTTGTAAGTACGTATTCTTTTCATTAGGAAAATATTTGGTCACATTTACTGTTTTGTTTATTTTCAAGCGACGTTCAAATAATGGTCGTCTAAACCTCGAAGTGAGAGCCACAAAATTAACCGATTTTGCTGGCGTTCGCGAAAAATAAAAATGCAATTGAACTTTAAGTATTTTTTCTAGAAATAGTTCATCCAGACCTATATTCTGGCAATGCAAAGTTTGGGGATTTTCGATTTTTTTGATATTGCACACCTCCAGGCGATATTTACGAACGGCCGCTCTTAAGAACCATCCTTCCTTTTTAATTCAGACAATGATCAAGTCATTAATCCGAGTTATAGGTATGGATTGAACATAGCACTCCTTCCTTCCTTTCTTCGATGACTGTTAAAGTTTTCTAAATGCACCGACCAGTATCCAATACTGTAGCCAACAGGGTATAAATGGGGGATTATAAAATAATGAAAAATAATGTTATCACTTTAGTAGAGAGTATTTCCACAACACTGAATTAAGTAAACGCTATTTCAGATTCCTGTCGTACACTCGAGTTCACTGCGGCGATCCACGGTCAGCGTCTTACAAACAACGTGATACAAGTCTCTTACTTTTTGACCCAGGATACCTGTGTTACATGGAACCAAACTGTGTCAGTTATAATTTCGCGGAAAGCAACGATGGAATAAAAGAGTGCGAATTGAGTAACTCCACGTATGAACGGAACGAATGGGATTTGAAACAAGACTCAAACTCTATTTACCGAGGAGCTATGGTAAATATGTAGTGATGAAAATAGGATCTTAACCCGAGTGATATTTCAGAGTCGATGCAAAAACGACGAGAACATGAAATGCATTGTGTATGATATCGTACACCTTAGAAAGCTGCTTAATTTTCTATCCTTTTTGTTATTTCATTTTGTTGTTTGTTTTTGTACTAAGGTTGGGCTACGAAATTCCCTGCTTGCTTTCACATGCATATATCTTTTGCATCTATTACAAGAGTTGACTGTATGTGTGGTACATACGTCCAACAATTGTATTCAAAGTTTATGGCAGTTTTGTTAACACAGAAACTGACATTGCCACTAAGGGGTTAGTGTCGGAAGTAGAAAGCTGTCATGGAAAATATCATGGAAACTATCATGGTATGGGTGGGGAGGTGGGTGAGTAACTGGCCAGGGAGCGCCATCCTGTCCAACAGAAATATCAATACGCACTGGTGTTTCATGCTAAATTTACTTGGGTAAGCTAAATGTTAATTTTGTTTAGACCACCAGAATTATGTCATCGACTGCACTTCATACTGGGTGCTTTCTTAATATGCTCTTTAATTCAATTTATTTTCGAGTTATGACGGCTCAATATTTTCATAAATATTCTCATTGGAAGGGTGTTTTTCTTTTGCACCTAATGGTTACGGACTGTAGGATGTATCTGAGTGTTTACAAACAAATTATTGTCCATTTTAAGTGAACAACAACATTATTTAGGAACTCGCAATGACCACTTCAAGGTTAAAGTCACTAGGCACACGAGCCTAGTGGTCCAACCGCCTTTCCGACTTCCTTAGCATGAAGCGACTAGGAGTATTAATACTCCCAATCCCCCGGATAGGATGTTAGTTCATCGCATGGCCACACCCCCGCATTTCATCAGTCTTCTGTGACAACTCGCCCGTTCCCTTTTATACTCTGGGGTGGAGGGAGCCATTATGGGAGTGAAGTGTTTGCTCACTAACATAACACATCGACCCGTCCAGGTCTAGAACCCAGACCCCTGAGTCCAGTCAGCCGTCCATACGGCCACTGCATCACTTCATTTACCACACGAAGGTAGTCGAGGCATATTAATATGCTTTAAACTTTCTTGTATTTAATTAACTACTTCTTTCGTAAAGGTTTTCAATTAATGTTTCTCTCCATTTGCCAGGATGCCTGCTTGAACAATCGATGTATGAACAATGCAACCTGTCAAACAGGTTTCACCGATAGAGGATATCGATGCGTTTGCATTGGAGGTTTCCAGGGAGAGGACTGCGATGAAGGTAAACGGTGATTTCTATCTTTTTCGAAGATGTTATTCTAAGCACCCATTTTAGCTGCCCATTAAGCTTTGTTTTGGTGGCTTTCCTTGAATAACGCATCTTTTTCTGTTATCTTTTAGATGTTGATGAATGCAACACAGGAGAAAATTCTTGTAGTGAAGACGCAGAATGCATCAACACCCGAGGCTCATACAACTGTACTTGCAAACAAGGATATGATGGAGACGGATGGAATTGTAGTAAGTTAGGTAGGTTTTAAAATGTGTTTTACGTAATGGTAATAATAATGATTGCCTAATGACGCTCTCAAGCATGTGAAAGCAGAATTTGAAGGAAACGATTAGTCATAACTTCTCACTCAACTTTACAAAAGGCGAAGAGTCGAAGTTTCCATTATTACGAATTTGTCCTATGCAGATTATCAGTATTCTCTTCTTTGTTACAGCGTCAACGTGCAAGGACATCTATGACAAAAACATGTAAGTATAAGTCAATATTACTCAAGAACGTTTAAAATAATTTTGTTTTATTTGATCATGCACTTTTTGGAGACAATTTTAAGTCGCCCGCAGATATTTACGCATTTTACATCTGTGAAAGGACTCTCCCTCAAAGATCTCCATAATCAATTTTGGTCGCATTACTAGTGATACAGACCTATAAGTACAACAGACTACTTAATCAAATCAAAAGCCAAAACGAAAGGTTTTTAAAAACTTACCCGAGCGGGAGGTTGAGACCAGAAATGGCTCATAACTTAGATCTTAGAGAAGTAGCCTTTTGAAAACCATTACATTCCTGACTGACCAAAAAAAACAAAGGTTAAGTAAGAAATACCAGAAATGAATGACGAGAAAACTTTTCTGCTATCTTTGCAAATGATAACTTGTTCTGGTTAATCAGTGACGCAGTTTGCACTATGAGCCACATTTTACCCCGTGTTACTTTGAATGATTCCCTTACGGGGTGGGAGTACGGATACAAATTAACTCAAGCCTTTGTGGTGGTGACTTCCCAAACCATTCTTAGCAGCATAAGGCAGTCTGAAGCCTTTCCCTACGTCTTCATCTCGCCTACATCTAGCCAATTCGGAAGGCCACAAAAGTGTGAACAAACATTTATCTTTCGGATCGGCGCTCGCAATCTTCGCGGTAACCATGGACGCCTTTCGTTCGACTACTTAAATCTCAGGAGGACTCAGAATGCTTCGTCCCACGCTCGTTACAAGATGAAAAACATCGTTCTCTATAAATTTCATCATGTTTTTCATGTTATCGTGTTCCCATCATCAGCATTGTACCATTTTTCAAAATAGAAACCACACACCACCTGAAGTAGGGCTAACGCTTGTAACCGGCGTTAGCCGTAGAAATTCATCTCGGAGGCCAATTTACTAAGTCCCCACCGATGCAGCAATACACTACGTCTTTCTTTAGAAACTTAACCCCTTTCACCTGGCTTTAGATAACTTCAAAACTGTGATTGTAATTTTTACCCTTATTAATAGCTCACTGAATGGAAATAGAGACTACTTACTGCACATTGGATCTGAGATGATCCCAGTATATTGTCACATGGACAACAATGGCCTGGGCGAACATGGAGAATGCGAAGGAGGAGGGTGGACTCTAGTGATGAAAACCGACGGCACACAGGTAAAATGTTGCGAAATTCACCAAATGCATTATGAAGAGTATCTAAATTCATATATGTTATAATTCATAGCTAGGGACATAATTGTAAATGGACAGTCATATCTAAAACAACAGAATGTTTCTGTCGAGGAACTATCGGCTGATAGTTGCCCCGCGGAAATTTCCAAGGGGCACCTATCAGACCGATAGTTCCGAGACA